CAGACGTTGGGGACAACCGGATAGGTCGGAGTGTGAGAGCATCGAGATGATGCGCTCGGTGTTGTACAAGGGCGACGGCGCGGCACTGCGGACGGATTGTGTCGGCGACGTGGATGGCCAGCGTATCGCATGGCTCGTGCACGGACGATGCGCGAGGTGACGACTGTTACGGCAGGGTTGACGTCGGTGAGTATGCACGGCAGGGCAGTACAGATAGCTGGCGAAGATCAAGATCAGAGACTAGGCGAAGTTGTTCATCGGGATCAGCAGAGGATTTTTCCTGAGGTACACGGACAGAGGAAAGGAAGGTCACGGCGCGGGGCTGCGTACGCGAGACAGGCGTGTTTCGGCAGCAAGTCTCCGTTGGCCGCATGCGCTAACGCGTGTTGGTGGAGGAGTCTACAAGATTGGCAGCGATTGCATGGCGGTTTCTAATTAAACAAAGGAAAGTTAGCGTAGGTGCTGGTGCAGTTGTTTAGTTTGGTATGCAATGCATTGGGCCCAGTTTTTGGGTAAGAATTAGACTTGAGTCAGGAGATTTGTGCAGGCCGTGTCTGTGAGGCTTTGAAATTCGTTTTCCGTGTCAGGCGAGGGGAAAAAGGGCCGGGTCTACCAGCGGTAATAAAAGGCTGGGAACGTCGAGACGAACAGGCACAAAAACCAGTCTGCAGTTTCGGGAAAAGGTGGAGCAGTTGGTTTCTGCAGTTTTGGCGGAGAGCAAGTTCATCTGCGCGTCGGCAAGGCTTCACGGTGATTTTCTCAAGGGCGGGCAAAAAGGTTGTGCAAGTCAGATTTCTTGGTAGATCGTGAACTGCAGCGTGGCTTTGTCTTGCCCATCAGGTCATGTATCATGTCATGGACGAAGATACTTTTAAGGGAATTTGGGATAAGTTGGCAAATCGTTATATGTCCAAGTCAGCGACCAATAAGCTGTATTTGAAGCAAAAGTTCTATGGACTGAAGATGCAGAAGGGGTCGGATCTTGTGGAGCATGTGAATGCCTTTAATCAGCTGGTCACAGATCTAGCGCGTCTGGATGTGAAGATTGATGATGAGGATAAGGCACTACTTCTTATTTCGTTGCCACCGTCCTATGAGCATTTGGTCATTACATCGACACATGGAAAGACAACCGTCAATAATGAGGAAGTCACTGCAGTGTTGTTTGGACATGAGTTGTGGAAGCAAAAGAATGCTACAGAGGAGATTACTCAAGGTTTGGGCTTGGCAGTTAAAGGTTACCAGCTTAGGAAGGGACAAAAGGCGGAGAAGAAAAAGAAGAAAAAGGTGCAGCGCTACAGATGCAAGGACTGGGGACATGTAAAGAGGAAGTGCCCAGAACTGAAGGGTGGGGCAAGTGCTAATGCGGCTGCTCATGGTGATGGCTCGGACAGTGATAATGATGTTCTCGTAGTATCAAACAGACGGTCAATAAAAACTGAAGCGTGGATGTTCGATTCAGCTTGCTCTTTTCATGCGACGCCCAACAGGGAGTGGTTCTCTTCGTACAAGTCTGGTGAGTTTAGTTTAGCCTATGTGGGCGATGACACAGGTTATCGTGTTGCTGGAGTAGGTGACATCAAAATCAAGATGTTTGACGGAGTTGAGCAAATGCTTCGGGGAGTCAGGCATGTGTTAGGGCTAAGAAGGAATCTAATTTCGCTTGGTGTTCTTCATGTTGGTGGTATGGAATTCCGTTGTGACGGGATAAGAAGACCATGAAAATCATGGAAGATGGGGTGATCGTGATGATAGGAGAGAGGGCGGCTTCACATCTTTACAAGTTGCAAGGGAGCACTATTGCAGGTGGAGCCATGTAAAGTGGAGCTGCAGGTGTAGCAGTGGAGTCTCGCGGTGGCGGCGGTTCTGACCCGTCGGGTAGCTCTCAGTAAGCTACAAAGAAGACAACCCAAGTCCGGAGTACATGGAGGTTCGAGCATGAAGGACTTCTAGGTGGTGGAGAATATTCGTCAAGGTGGAGTTTATTATATTTGTGTCGAATATACTATGTGCGCAAGGCAAGGGGTTACGTGGACTTGGAGTTGTAATTGATGTGGTTAGGTACGAGTTATGTAGGAGTCAGACACTTGTATCCTAGGCCTCTTATATACGGAGGGGCACCACACCTTGTAACCCATGACGACTTAATAGGAAGAGGTACGCGGGAGAGCCGACGGCTTGTGCCGGCACCCGGACGGCCGGTGTTGCGGTATCTTGGGGAGGAGCACCTATAGTCATATGCCCCGAGGATGTCACCATATCGATGAATCTCGTTAACAAATATCGTGTCTCGATTTGTCGTCTATGATCTTGCATTAGGGTTTTATTCTAACACCAACCTCGCCGCCGCCTCTGCTGCAGCCAATCCTCACATGCGTCATTCCTGCTGATGGCCAGCTCCTTCCTTGCCGCCCCTAGCAGAATGACATCAAACAGCAGGCACTGCTGCTCTGCTATGCTTCCGTCCGTTGTTACCTCGTTTCCCGGTGATGCTGCCTCCCGTATCGACAACCACAGCCGATCTTGCTGCTCTACAAATTTTCTGGACGTCTCTGCTGCTCGGTTTTGTTTTCTTTGTTGGTCATTTTTGCTCAGATCATGTGTGTATGATCCTAGTCAGAATGTGTATGTATGTAGTATGAATGAATGAATTGGAAGATTTATGAATTGTTGGATGAATGTGGCCAGTTTTCCAAGTTTCATAACTGAACATTTGTGAATTCGGGGGCATTGGTCGGTGAATGAACTTTGGCATCTTGGGCTCTACGCACAAGAGGAAAAACGCCGCGCGTCGTCTCATCCGAGGCGACACGGGCGGACTCCCCGACCGCGCCGCCGGGCCGCCCTCCCGCCCCACGCCCTCCCCTCGCCGTCGCCGGAGGAGGCCGCCGGGCTAAGCCCGGGCGGCGGAAGGCGGCGGCGGGGTCGTCTTCTTCTCGTCTGGCCGCGGGAGCACGGGGTGGGGGAGGCTTGATACCCTTTTTCATGGCGCAGCGGATCTAGGCGGGCCGGCTGCTCCGCCGGCGGCCAGCTGGGCTTCTTCCCCAGCTGTTCTTCTCTGGCGTGGCGGCTTCCGAGCAGGGGCTCTCGCGGGTGGCAGCCGCGCAGCTTCGTAGGCGGGCTCTGGTCTTTTGGCCAGCTGCT